ACACACACATACACACACACACAGGCTTTTTAAAACTCTTGAAAAGTGGATAGGGTGGAGTTGTTTTAGTACTACCCAAAGCTGTTGGTGTTCTTTGTATGGTTAATTTTTTGTTTGTTTGTTTCATGTGTGTTTAAACGGTCCCTTAGAGACTCCATCTTTAACTGTCTTATTCTGAGAACACAGAAGACTATGTTCTTAACTTGCTGAAATACGAAACAAGAACCTGCTCCTTATTCTTACACAAATGGTTGACATCCCTGCAAACATGGGTGTAGATGTTCCAGACTGAAACAGAGATGGCAGGTGCCCTGGGTAGTGATGTCACCTGGGCTGAACATCAGCACAATGATGTCCCTAGAGTAAATGGCATCAGCATTTATGATTAAATATCTGTTTCTGCTTAGTCTTTTCTTGAAGGATGTGTGTGATTCCGATGCCCTGGAGGTAGCTCTGGACTGTGTGCAGGAGCACTGGGGTCAGAGGGTGTATTTTCATCTTGTGCTGGCAATAAAACCCTAAAGATAATTGCAAACAAAAGTTGTCAGGCTTCCTTGAGAACCCAAGTTATTAATATTTTTCAAGTTTCTGCGTCCTCTGCGCTTGTTGAGTTTTGCCATGTCGGTTTATTTTTCCTGACATGGAACAATGTCTTAACAACACTGGGATGTTGCCCAGTGTTTCTTACATATTGTCTTTGACCTCCCCCACACGCAACTACTCAGGAATGTTGTTTTTAAATTTCCAAACATGTTTATGTTCTCTTTCAGCTATGCTTTTTAACTTAATTGGCCTGTAGTCAGAGACTTTGTACAGTATTGACTGCTTCTTTTTAAATAGCATTTATGGATTTTATTCCCCGGCTTAACATATGCTCAATTTCTACAAGTGTGTGTGGCTGAAAAAAGCCTATATTTTTAAATTTGGGAGTAGAAGCTCCAATATGTATTCAGTATGGTTTGGTTTTACAATAATGTTCTCCAAAGACTTACGGATTTTTATTTATTTGATCTATAAAAAGTAAAATTAAAAAAAACCAATGTGCTGCAAATTTGAGATTTTTCTTGTATTTAACTCTTTTCTTCCTTCATCTATCTGTTTGTGTGTAGCCCTGGCTGTCCTAGAACTCACTATGTAGATCAGGCTGGCCTTGAACTCACAGAGATGTGTCTACCTTTGCCTCCCAAGGGCTGGGATTAAAAGCTTACACCATCACATCCAGCTCTCCTTTGTATATTTTGAAGCTATTTCACTTTACAATCTTTAGGAAACACAATACCACATGCTTCTCATGAACTGAAATTTTGCCATTACGGAGTCACTCTTCTGAAGCTAAAGACCCTGCTGGAGAGTCTGTCCCACTATGACAGCAATGGGAGCTTTGCTTCCATATACTCAGTTTCATCTTATTTTTTTCTTTCTTCCTGTGTGACCTTCCTGCCATCCATGTTTGATGTAATCCCTTCTGAACAACACAGAGTGAATCTGCTAAGCACACTCCAGTTAGGCAATCTGATCTCCTAAATTATTTAGATCTTTGATGTTATTAATTATGATTATTGAATATTTATATTTGTTTCTATAATCTTTCTTTGTGCCATTAGATTTCATCAATCATAAGACATACATTTTCATACCTTTGAAATTAGAATGCTTCTTATACTTCATGTAATTACCAGTTTTTTCCTTATTGGATGCATTAAAAAATCAGGCATATTCTACAGTCAATGTCTGAGAAATATAATATTTGTTCTCCATTTGTGCTTATTTCTTATACTCCACTCCTTCTCATATTTATTAGTTTAAGTTTTTTTAACTTTTTTTTTCATTCTATATGCGTTTGGAAACTACACATTCTATCTGTGTCACTGTGGTAATGACTCTTAAATTGTAGCAGGCATGCCTACATTAACATTTTAAAGTTAATTAGTGTCTCCTTTGTAGTCTTCAGAAAGTCATCCTAAAACAAGAGGGTGGGTACAGGCATTTTTGAAGGGACAGCAAGAAACAGGGAAGAATTCATGGGAAAGTGAGGGGCCAAGGAGAGGTGAAAGCCATAAGGAGCAGTGAGGAGCCGGCTTCTGTTGAGGACCCCTGCAGCAGCTCACTCTCTGAGGAAGCAAGAAGGGATATGAAGTATCCTGATCCTGACTCCCTTTGGGGTTGCAATCTTCCCCAGTGTTAATACATCCAAACTTCCAGGCTCCACATGCTCAAGTTTTCATGGTACAGGAAGAAAACACAGGGGTATAGAAGGGACATGTCTGAGAGAGGCTGTCCACACAGTGACAGCTGCCTATCAACAGCTACAACTGACCTTGAGTGGATGTAGGGGAAGGTGTCAACAGGGTCTGCTACAATCAGTATTCTTAATCTCCAGCTCATCACTGAGACCTTTAACTTGTCATTCAGACCATGCATCCTGTATCCATTACATATTTATCAGTGTACATTTTATTTCCACTTTTTATGTTTTATTTAAGGGTTGTATTTAGGTGTGTGTGTGTGTGTGTGTGTGTGTGTGTGTGTGTGTGTGTGTGGGGACAGTGGGTATGTGCATGTGTGTGTACACACCATTGAAGGTCAGAACAGGGTTTGGGGTTCCATGGAGTAGGCATTCGAGGTTATTGTCAGATGCCTGATGTGGGTGTTGTAGACTCCAGTTCTCTACAAGAGCAGCAAGTGTTGGTAACTACTAGTCATCTCTCCAGCCATTCATGTTTTATTTTTAAACAACCAGTGATTGTTTAGATTTAATTGGTATGCTTCAATATTTCCTTCCAATCCTTCTTTTTTTCTTTTATATATTTATTTAAGTAAATATTAAATCACAGGCAAGATAGTACATGACATTAATCCCCACCACTCAGGAGGCAGAGGGAGGTGGACCTCTGTGATCTGAGGACACTCAGGATGACATAAAAAGTGGGGGCTCTATAGTAAGACCTTACCACAAATAAGAAGTCTGTGGCTAAAGAGATAGCTCAGCAGTCAAAAACAGGGGACAAAGTTCAGTTCCCAGCACCCACATGAGGCAGTTCACAACCACCTGTAACAACAGCTCAAGGGGATACGGTGCCTTCTTCTGGTCTTCTAGCATACTGCACACAAGTGATGCATATATGGACACTCAGGTGTGTGTGTGTGTGTGTGTGTGTGTGTGTGTGTGTGTGTGTGCACAGATAAAATAAATCTTTTCATTTGAGGTCTTCTAAATATTTATCATATATTTAGATAATCTGAGGCTTTTCTGATTAATATTTTCTCTGTTGCTCTGCAGATTGATTTGTCTAAATATACCAAGTTTTATTCCTGACATTCAGTGATGTTGTGAGTCTAAAGCTAACAAAAAAGCCAGAAAATCAGATTCTGCCAATATCATTAAGGTGAATGTGATCAGATGAACCTCAGAGTTAGAAGACGGGCCTTGGGAAGCTGGCAGAAGATTATAGAATCCAAACACTCAAGTAGTTAACTTAGAGACACACAGGTCAGGTTTGTGAGGGTGTCTCCTCACAAAGTCTTCCCCAAAGATGCAGCATCTTCCTGAAACAGGAAAAATATACAGAAATATGGGATGCCTTTGCCTGCATAGCCTTTCTTCTTTCCAGACAGTGATTTGTTCTGCTGCAACCATCTGTTGCTTCTCTGATTTTCTACCTCCTGGTTGCCCTCCAGGAATCCTCCAGTCCTCAGTGCCAGATTGCAGGTGCTGCAGCACCTAGCCTTGTGTACTGGGCACATAATGGGCTCTCAGCCTCTTGGGTGTACAGACAGCCAACCCAGGGATTATTCATCCCTATCATGGAAGGCAATCGAATAAATCCCCTTTGTGGTGAGTATTCAATGCCTGAGTTCTGTTCCTCTAGAAAACCATGACTGACACAGGGTCTCAGCATGTCAGTCTGTGTTACAGGAAGAACCACTGTAGACATGGGTGGTTCCAGGCCCTGGGGTCCCAATACCAGCTGTGTCTGTCTCTGGCCTGGTTAGATTTAAATTAGTTTAACAGAAGTGAGAAGGTCATCTGGGACGAGAGAACCACAGTTCAGGAAGTGTCCCCATCAGACTGGCCTGTAGGCAAGTCTGTGGGGGCACTTTTTGATTAATGTTTCGTATGAGAGGGCTGTGCCCACTGTTGGTGGCACCCCCTTAGGCCTCTGTCCTGGATGGTATATGAAAGCAGGCTGAGCAAGCCATGTGGAGCAAGCCAAAGTGGTACTCCTCCATAGTCTCTGCTTCAGATCCTGCCTATGTCAATGATGAACTATAAGCGGTGAGCTGAAATAGAGCCTCTCTTCCTCAAGCTGTTTTGGTGGTGTCAACACAGCAACAGAAAGCTAACAGAGACAGTCCCATAAGCAGCACCACCTAGGAACTGGACCTTTCTCTGGGTGACAGTTGCATCAGAAACTTAAAACCACTATAAAGCTTAGTGGGCTAAATATTTCTTAAGCCTAGAATGACAGGAGTTATAAGGCACATCAAACCTTTGGCATTAATTAGCTTGTGTTCATTCAGGGTAATGTCTACAAGTTTGGTATTCTAAATGCTTGCAAAATATAATTGAATTTGGCATATTCAAGTAAATGATAAATTGGCCTACGATTTCAAATTAAATGTAGGCTTGATTTAATGGTAAGTGGTATAAAAGGAAGCCACTTAATTTATAATCAGTGCTAAAATGGTTAACAGAATTTGTATTGAGGAGTTGCTTGATCCTACAGTAAAGACTAGTTTCTTGGATTGCAAGCTTACTGCACTTAGTTATTCTAACTTTGTAAAGAAAAGTCAAATATATTAAATTTACAAATGTTTTTAAAGCATCTAAATGAAATTAGTCCATTCAATCAAATTTACTTAGCATAAATGAATATCAAATTCCCTTAAGCCACCAGTCAATTTTGTATTAAAGTTTTCCTGAAGATAATTATTTTATATAAAGTATACCAGGACTAAAATGTTAAGTAGAATTTATAAGATGAATTTAAGGGTTCAAGGACAAATTTTAATTTATAATTGATAGATAAAATGCTAAAAAAAAAAGCAAGCCCAAATCAATTACAATGTTCTTCTCTCTGCACCAGGGGCTGTGGAGATGGCTCAGGCTGAACGCTTTTCTCCCAAGACTGAGGACCTGAGTTTTGTCTCCAGAACCTATGTAAAAAGCTGGGCATGCTGGTACACACATATTTGTGCAATCCCAGTCCCAGAGAGGCTAAGATGAGGTGAGGTTCCTGGGCCTCACTGGCCAGCCTTTCTGACTAAATTGGAGACCTCCAGGTAAAACTGAGAGACCCTATTTCAAAAACCAAGACAGAGAGAATGTCAGAGGATGACACAAAGGTTGGCTTCTGGCACACACAAATACACACACACACATTTTACCTCAAAACTGAGTTAAAAACCCATCCTTTCTCAGTGTGCTCACTACTCATTCCCTCCCACTTCTGAACGTCTCACTGGGTATAAATTTTACAATTTAGTTCTTGCATGCTTCACTTCTCAGTTGCCTTCCCCGGAATGTAGCGCTGAGAAATGCCTTGTAAGGTTGTCTTTTCCAATTCTCAGATGTGTCTTCACCTGGATCTGTTAATCCATCCGCTGGGGTCTTTCTTTCTTAAATGTAATGTCTCTGTTCCTCTTTCCACATCACACACTTTGATGCAGCTCTTCAAACTGCTCTGTTTCTTCTCGAAACCCCTCCTGCCCCCTGCGAACCCCTGACTTGGGTGAGTAGGCACCCTGTCTCTGTGGCACGCCAGCTGGCTGGAGACCTGGCCCTTGGATCCCAGGCATCATGCCTGTCTCCACCAAGCTGTGCCTCTATATTAATTAGGACATGGGGTTCAGCCTCCAGAGTGGCATCAAACAGTGAGTGGTCCCACATTACAGCAGCCCCTAGAGAGAAATATATGGTGACATCTTAGCTTGCCTGTCCATTGGCTGAAACAGCTTTATTCATCAACTAACAAGAGAAACATGCTCACAGCATACAGAAGGACATCCCCCAATCAGAAATGGGAGAAATATGGAACACAAGGGCATTGAGAAGAGAAATTCCACTGTATGCCTCCCTTCTAACCAGAGGTGATGTTTCTTTTCGCAGAGTTTTCAGAAAAACCCTCCAGCTGTGTTCACCTCAAAGACCACAGGCCACCTGTACTTCAGGAGGCTATGAATGTGGCCCAACATAAAATTGGGAAATTGCGACATGGGATTTTTTTAGTGCAGTTTTGCTTGTTTTTGAATGTTTGTTTTGATAACTCAATTGCAAGGTGACCTACCATGAGCTTTATAGATCACCCTATTGCAACATTAAGAGGTTAGACAAGACTGCGACATGAGCCTGCCACATGCCCAGGTGTGGTTTCTCCAGTGTGTCCTTAGCAATAGAGATGAGCACATTAAGTTACCACAGCGCGTTGTCTCAACTCTCACCCCAACCCAGTCGCTCTTACTCTATTCAGAAATTCCAAATGGAGATTTGAAGACCAGGCAGAAACCCTGGGCTTCCTCAGCTAAAGGCCCTTAAAAAGCTGAGATTCGACTCTTTGTGAGAATACAGTCTTCTCTTGCGTTTTAAAAAGATTCCGTTTATGTCATTAGTATAGGTATCAGTGAAAGACTATACAATTCTTAAATTGTTTAAAATTTAATCTTGCTCTCCGTGATGCCAACTCTTACTCGTGATGAATCATTTCCCTGTGTGTGCTGTGGTTTTGTTTGATGTCCTCTTTAGTAGGGTTGTGTGACTGGGCCACTGTCAAGAGAACTGTATGAAAGCTGCTGCTGCTCAACTGCCCTTCAAGTTTAATGCCCTCCAGAGCCTCAGCCAGGGAATGGTTTCACCCACCATGGGCAGGTCTTCAACACTTCCTTTAACATACTCAAGAAAATGCCTCCCAGACAGGCCCAGAGACCCAACTTACAGGATTCTATATCCTGCCAAGTGTACACTTAAACTTACCCATCATAGTGTGTGGTCATGTGGATACATCAAATGAGGGTGACACTATCTCCATCTCCTTATTGCCATTGTGCATTTGGACACTTTAAGCTCCTCTCTTGTATGTTCATAAAATGTTTGACAGGATGTCATCAACTATAGTCACCCAATTGTGCCGAGGGACAATAGTACTCGTTACTTTTATTCGACTTTGTTTGTCATCTATTTTCCAAACTCTATGGCCTCTCCCTTCACCTTTTATTGGGGTCCTTTTTGTTTTTTATTTTATGTGTATGAGTGTTGCTGCATGTGTGTGTGTGTGTGTGTGTGTGTGTGTGTGTGTGTGTGTGTGTGCAGTGTCTGTGGAGGCAAGAAGAGGGTGTCAGATCCCCCATGAGATTGGGGGTCGCAGGAGGTTGTGGCCCGCCATATGGGTGCTGAGAACTAAATCCTGGTCCTCTGTGGGAGCAGCCATTGCTGTTAGCTACCTAGCCATTCCTCTACCCCTCATTAACTGTTTTAATTTGCAGTTCTAAGTTTACTAATGATTTGGGACATCTTTTCATGGGCTCCTTTGCTGTTTATATATCTTCTTTGACAAAATGTCTGTTTGATGCCTTTTCAAGTGGGTTGTTTCTCTCATTGACTTGTAAGAATTCTGGCTATCATGTTTTACACAAGGCACCTCAATCTGTGGTTTCTATTTTTACTTTTCTTAACAGTTGCTTTTGAAGAAAAGAACATTTACATTTTGTGTATTCCAATTTTTTGGGTTTTTAAATCTGTTTTATGCTTTCTATGAGCTCTATTCTCAAACCAAGATTTTTTCCTGTGTTTTTTAAAGAAGTTGTGTGAAATTTAGAAATTTATAAGTAGGTGGGTAGTCTATTTCAATTTAATTTCTTAGTGCATGGCACAAGGCATTGTGCCAATGTTCAATTGCTTCATTACCATTTGTTGAAATGGTTGTCCCTTCTCTACTGAGTTCAACATGTATTGAAAATCAATGGATTGTGTGAGTGTGGGTTTATTTTCTGTTCTGTTTCATTGATCCATGTCTCTATCCCTTTGTCAGCTCTTGCAGTCCTGAGTACGGAGCTTTAAAGCAAACCAGGAAGGCGAATACTGTATGTCTTCAACTTTTTGTTTCAAATTATCCTTGAGGTTTTGCTTTTACTTATATGTCTTATAATTGACTTTTCTGGTTCAATACAAACGCTACTTGGATTTGGGTTTGGGGGGATCATAGTGAATTTAAAGATCAGTTTGGAAAGAATTGACACCTTCACAGCCTCGAGTCTTCTAAGCCCAGTGGAGCTTGTCATTCATTTAGGCCTTTGATTCCTCTCAGCACTGTGATAGTTTTGAACACAAAACTTTCACAGAGTCTATTTGATTTATCTCTACATATTTCACAGGACTGTGGTGGCATTATGTGAGGCATTTCTTTTTAAATGGATAATTATTCATTACCATTTCCTGGAAAGAAAGGGAACTTTTGTCTATTCACCTAGTATCTTGCAACCAGGGGGAATCACAATAGATTTTTATTTTCTATTCTTCAGGACCTTCCATGTAAACAATCATGATGCCTGTGAATAGTTCTTATTTCTTCCTTCCAATTCATATGCCTTTTATCCTCCTATGTGAGCAAGATGGATAAACAGTAAGTCTAAAACAACTCCTTCAGTAAATAAACAATAAAATCTGAGTAAAAAGAGAACATTTTGTCATAATTTAATGGGCAGCATTTTCTTTCTCAGTGATACTCAAAATTATGTGTATTTTACAATTGATAGTGTTAGGAAAAGAAGAAATATTGCTTTTCCTAGATTATGCTGTGAATACTAGGCCTGGAGTTATGTAGTGTGGCAGTCCCAATATCAGGTTATATATACCCAGGGACTCCATAGTTTATACTGTTATCACTGACTCTCTTTAAAAGCATGGGTTTTCATTTTAAGACTGAACTAGGTCTACTGTTTAAGATCCCTGAAGGCTAAAAATGGTTGGTAAGCCAGTGACATTTAGTGGCTTTTGATCATGACAAATATAAATAGAAAACTCTACAAACTGGAAAGGACTGGAATTTTACTTATTTACAAGCTGACATAGTCATCTGAGAAAGTGTCCTTGGAGACACAGGATGCTGGGACAAGAGACAAAGCACAATATTGTTTGTAGGATGGCAGGCAAGATTGTATTGGTTCCTGTTGCCTACAAAATACCTCCGTTTAGGGGCAGGTGCAGTGCTGCTGGCTGCCCTCCCCCTGCAGGAGAGGCTGGAGCGGGAAGATTGCTTAAGCAAGAAAGTTCACATTGGCAACCAGCCTGCAGAGATCCTGTACCAAAAAAAAAAAATGTCCTGCCAAGGGGCAATGCAGTGCTGGCCCAGAGGGAAGCTGGACAGGTTCCAGCAATAGACAATTATACATTTTGACAGCACTGTGTATAATAACACCCAAAGCCCAAGAAGTATTGAGAGAGAAATCAAACAGAGCATATGGAAGGTTATCGTTCAAAATTATAGCATTTTGTGCTGAAGAGATGGCTAAAGATTTATGAGTGTTGGCTGCTCTTCCAGATGACCTAGGTTCAATTACCAGCCCCCACCCATATCATGACTCACAACCATCACAGTCCCAGCATATGATACCCTCTTTTAGCTTCCATGAGCATCAGACAAGCAAGTGGTATATAGACATACCTGCAGGCAAAACACACATATACACATAATATTTAAATTAATTTTTGAAAATGATAACACACTGCTGAGGAAAACCAAAGACCTAATAGAAGACCTTAAACTGGTTCAGAGACTAGAAGGCTCAACACAGATTTGTTAAACCTGAGAGACCCCAAACTTAAAACCCTGAATCTTTTGAAGGGGTTATGAGGAAAATGGCTGAACTCACAAAGATATATCTTACTATTTTTTTTTTACTATTATTACCATTATCATTATTCAGGACATCTATCTGCCCTCTGCTTCAGACAGGAATGCTATGTATACCCCCTAAAGGCATTTTTGGTACAACATCCATGAAAAGAGAGTACACAGGATGCTTGGTACTGCTGCTCCAAGATGGGAGCCATGAGAATTATGGCTGCTGTATGACACATTCTCCCCTCCTATCATGATAGGACACCACCTTGATCAGGTAGCCAGGGCAACAAGAGCAGATCAGTACAATGGTACCCAGGCTTATGGGGATGATAATGGGACTATTAACACTCCACAGTAGATTGAGGAAAGGAAAATCTGGAGGCCCTCCCTAAGATTTTGGCTACGGCCCTCTCTCCAGCTGCAAGTTTATGGGAAGTGAAGGTTGGTGAAAAGCTGAACTAGCGCTTCACAGGGTTGCTATCCAGAGTAAGCTGGGACTTTGTAGTGGTGCATATGTTTGGGGTCACCTATACTTCCATACACAACCTCTCACCTATCTGCTATAAGCAAGAGTGAAGTCACCATCATTGACTTTAATAGGATCACACTTGAATCTGTCCTTCATGCCCATCTGGAGTGAACGGACATTCAGTTGTGTCAGTGACAGTGACAGTCCCAGTGGTCATCTGGAAGAAGTTATTTTAAATAGAGCTTAGTGTCTGTGTCCAGGGGCCTCTGTCAGTGGCAGTTTGCCCATGTGTTTAATAAACTTGTTTCTAAGACTACTTCCAAGTCTTCTGTGCGGGTAGAGCTCGCCATGTGACACAGATGGACAGTGAAACACAGATGCAAGTGATCTCATCATCTCCAGGCCATCTGTGAATAAACTGATAACATTTTAGTAGCTTGACCAAAAAAGATGGCCCATTGCAGTAGCCAGCATTTTACATTCTAATCAATATGCCAGTCTGACTGTTCCCTACCCCAAACTTAAACCTCTCTCTCTCATACATGAGGTCTAAGTGGAAAACTGGCTTAACTGTTTTCTTGAATTATTAGTGTCTAACAGAGAGTTATTAAAAACTAAATAAGAAATGATTCTTTTATTGCAATGTAGGTCTTGAAGAGATGAGCAAGGAAATATAGATAGTTACATTTATTAGCTCTCTCTCTCTCTCTCTCTCTCTGTGTGTGTGTGTGTGTGTGTGTGTGTGTGTGTGTGTGTATTTTTCATAGTGTGATCAGGAATGCATATTCTGATGAGCATGCAGGAGATAGCACTGTAGTGCCTTCAAGCCTCATTGCTTTTGCCTTCCTAATGTACAAATCCCTAACAAACATATCCCCTGAGCTTAGAGTTAGTCTGATTAAAAATTAGTGGTTAGAACACATGCATTCTTAACATCTCCCCATTCTTTTCTGTCCTGAGAACTGAGGTAGGCTAACACATCTCTGAAAGAAAAAGAAAAAATGAACAATTTTTACAGAGTTCTTGAATGGTAGAAAATCTTAAAGTGGCCACAGACTTATTAGTACTCAATGTCAAAGCAAAGGGAAGTCCAAGTGGCTTTTAAATACAGTAGGCCAGCTGGACTGACATTTATTGGAAATGACAGGCAAGGCACACATCAGTGACATGGTTCAGGTTTCTTTCTTTCCTTTTTAAATATGCAGGTGGGCAGGATAGATGGCTCCGCAGTTGAGAGCACTTACTGTGCTCTTGCAGAGGATCTGACTTCAGTTCCCACCAAGTAATGTTGAGGAGCTCACAACCACATGTAAGTCCAGCTCTAGGAGCATTTGATGACCCCAAATTTCATGGTCAGCTGCACCCACACCCACACCCACACATAATTAACACTTTAAAATGTGCTATTTTAAAATTGGGAGGGGATGGGTATACACATGTGGTTACAGGTGTCATATGGGCCAGAAGAGGGTGTCAAAATCTCCTGGATTCAGAGCTGTAGTTGGATGTGAACCGTCTGGTGTGGGTGCTTGGAAACCAATGGAACTCGGGTCTTCTAAGAGAGCAGCAAGCACTCCTAACCACAGAGCCATCTCTCCAGCCCATGCCTCAGATTTCTGATGCTAGTGTGAGATTTTAGTGTATTAGGTTAGCAAGCCCATCATAAATTGTCACACATGTGACACAGTGTCTCTCTTCAGGCAGTGGAGCCCAGGGAGCCTCCTGGCATTACTGGTGTGGCCTGGGTTTTAAAGGACAGCACCTTCCCCTTCTCCTTTCTTACTAGCCTTTGCTTGCTGTCGCTTGCTCATGCACCCAAGTTGTCCTTAGCCTCCCGCAGCCTTCTCTGAGTTCATCTAAGTCTGTCTTTGAACCTGCCCCACTTTATCTAACCTATCACTGCCCTCCAAACTCACATCTTCTCCCATCCATCACCCCAAGCACTCCATTACCCTCCGCTGGAATCTTGCCAGCTATCCTTTCAAGATGCGTATCTGGCAAGCTGCCAGCTTCTCACTCTCTCCTCCCTGCCACCAACATGCTCAGGCTGCTGGGAACTAGAGTGGACCAAGGCCCCTGGAGCCATTACATGTTTCTCTACTATGTACACATCATAGTGCTCACTTCAGTTACCTTAACAAGTCTGAATAGTTTGCTCCTCACATATGAAATATGGTAGACATTTCTCGGTTCATTTCCCAGCATCCATTTTCCCTTCTCCCAAAGTATCTAGAGTTTTCTTTCTGAAAGTTCCCTTCCCCTTCCCTTAAGTTAACTAATTTTTCATTTGTGTGCACGTGCCCAAATGCCCCCAAAAGGGCATCGGATCCCCTGGAACTGGAATTAAGGTGGTTGTGAGTCACTGTATGTGGATGATGGGAGCTGAACTCTGGTCCTCTGAAGAGCAGTTCCTGAGCCATCTCCCCAGCCCTCCATTTTTCGTGATGCTCTTTGGGGAGTTCTGAGGCTTACTCCCCATGGCTTGCTCTAACAGTCCTTATAAAACCTAGGACCAACTACCCAGGGGTGGCAACATCCATAGTGGGCTGGGCCCTCCCACACCAATCAATAACCAAGACATTTCCCTACAGACATGGCCACAGATCAATCTAATGTAGGAAATTCATCAGTTGAGAAACCGTCTTTCCAGGTGACTTTTGGCTGTATAAAGCTAACAATACCACCTAACTAGCACTTGCCTATATGGAAATCAGCCCATGTCTGTCCTCAGCCTGCCCTCCTTTCTTGTCTCTATTCCATCCTCATCTTCAGAGGAAAAAGGTTCTGCCATGACAACTTAGCTGAGGGATTGCTTAAGTGACCACCCATGGGCTAAGCCAGGATTCTGTCCAGCAGATAGACAAATATAAGAAGAGAATGCTCAAAACAGGTACCTGCATGGAAGAGATGGCCTGGGGAGACCTGGCATTAGCTGCCATCGAAGCCACTGAAGTTGGTGAGACCTTTCAGCAAGGCCAAATGAGACTTGGAGAGACATGAGGTGGAGCTCTGTGGGCATGGACTCTTAAGGGACAAAGTGAAAGTGACACTCCCCTTTGAACAAGCTCATGACAGAGGTGGCAGAAGTGGCAGGAGGAAATAATGTGCTCCAAGTAGAGATGTGTCCCAAGGTGTGACGAGACAAACTCACAGAAAGTGTTGGATATTCATAGTGGCAGGACAGAGACAAGGTGGAACAGGAGATCAGAGACAAGAAAAAGGGCAAGAGTGGGGTAGATAATTCCCTTTCCAGCAGCTGGCTCAGACAAGCCCACGAGAACTGCTGGCTTGGGGGGCGGGCAGGGGTGCTATAATGACCAATGAGGACACAGGGAGACAGGGAGAACGGAAAGCAAATCAGGTGTTCTTGGGCAAGAATGTGGTGCACTCTTAAAGCTAAGTTTTTCCGGAACCCCAAGGAACTCTGTGAACCACCTGTCTCCTAACTCCATGCCTTGTTGTGGAGTTCCTCTGAAGACAAGTCCCCTGCCAAGCATTTGCCAATCAACTTCTTGGGGGAAAACCCTCAGCATGCAAGGAGGCCACAGCCACTATGCTGAGGTGGTTCTGCCAATGGCACTAGCTAAGCTAGTTGAGAAAATGATTTTTGAAGTAGATTAAAATACTGATTATGGGTGGGGAAAGATAGTTCAGTGGTTAAGACACTTGCTGTTCTCCTAGCAGACCTGAGTTGGGCTCCCAGCACTCATGTAGGATGGCTCACAGCCACTTGTAACTCTAGCTCCAGGAGATTTAAGCAACCTCTTCTGGCTTCTGTTGGCACTTGTACAGACACACACACACACACACACACACACACACACACACACACATACCTTTTTACTGAGATCCTTCTTAGTTGTCTTTCAAACTTGCTGGGTGCTGTAGGAAAGTGGGAGGAGAGGCTCAGGGACCCTGGAAGAGAGTTTATGAAAGGAACTATTTGCAAGGATATGGGTAGGTCCAGGACGTGGTTTTTTGGGACTGGATTCTGCCATGCCCTGATAGCTATGTGACCACTGATGGCTTCCTTATCATTTTTTGATTTATCTTAGATTTTTCTTTTCTCTTTTTCTTGAATCGTAGCTCCACCCTGTGAGATCGTGAAGATAAACAGCTAAGCAGATTTCCCTTTGATACACAAGTTAAGTAATTGACCCGAGGCTCAACCATGGATATGTGGCAAGCGTGGGCTGGCAGTCAGATAGGGTTCCTCTTAGTTCCTCTCAGGCTTCCTTCATACAGGCACACTCCTCTCTGCCTGCCCCCGGAGGGGAACTTGGCACAGAGTGTTCTTGGCCTCACCAGTTCCCACAGGAGCAACAAGAACTTGATGACATATTCCCAGAAATGTCAGCATCTTGCCTCCATCTCCACCCAATAATTGCTTCAACCACATTTAACCAATGGCAGCAAACCTGAACTTGCTGCAAGGAATCAGGCCCGAGGAAAGTGGATTTGGTTGTCTTGTGGAGTCCAAGTATGCTTTCTTCTTTCCGTGTGTGTGTGTGTGTGTGTGTGTGTGTGTGTGTGTGTGTGTGTGTGTGTACGTGTGTATGGAGGCCAGAGGTCTGTTGCCTTCTGTCCCTTTTCTCCTTATTCATTCATTTTTAAATTAATTTATTATTGTGTGTATACATAATATATGTGTGTGCATGGTACATATGATGGGGAGTGGTGGTCAGAAAACAACTTTGTGGACCTGGTTTTCTCATCACACCTTTATGGGGGCTTGGGGGATTAAACTCAGATCACCAGGCTTAAACAGTAAGTGCCTATACCCACACCCACTGAGCCATCTCACTAATCCTTTTTAAATTTAACTTTGTGCATGGGTAATGTGTGTGCTGTACATGCTTGTGTGTGTACACACTTGCATAAGTGTAGATAGATGATGTTCTCATGTATGTGAATGCGTGTGAATGTACCATGCATGTGCACATATGTGTGAACACATGTGAAATCCCAAAGTTGACACTGGGTATCTTCTTATAAGTGTACCTATCAGCTACATAGCTTTGGAAAAAGTCACCTAGCTTCTCTAAGATTCTCTCCTTAATTGCACAGTGAACTTTCTCTCCACATGAGGGTCATGTTATTGGTGATTAGCACAGAGCCCTATGTGTAGGGAGGAGCTTCAAGTACCATCCACTCTCTTGTGTCATCCCCTCACATACCCTTTTATGAACAGAGACACCAGGATTATTGATCTCTGGGGGACACAATTAGAGAAGTAGGTATGAAAAGCTGGGCTATTTTTCCTTGTAGGGTCTAGAGTAGGGTACAGTGAAGGAAATGAGTCAAGTTGACGTTTTTTAAATAGAATATTGAAATTTCACTGGTGTTTTCCCCCACAAATTTTAATATATCATAGGTGGTTAAGAGGCCTGGCTGCTCTTCCAGAGGACCAATACCCAGATGGTTGATCAGAATTACCTGTAACTCCAATTCCAGAGGATCCGGCATGTTCTGTTGGTCTCTGCAAACACCGAATACTCCATGGTGCACTTACTGGTGTGCAGTCAAACTCTCGCATACATAACATTTAAAAAAACATTTTAAAAAGCAATATAATCTTTTTCTGGGCCCAGTGGTGGACGCTTGTAATCACAGAACTCAGGAAGCAGAGGTAGGAAGATATCTGTGAATTTGAGGCCACCCCGGTCTATAAAGTGATTTCTAGGCCAGCCAGGGTTACAGGGATGCTGTGTAGGGTCTCAAAACCCCTCCACAACAATAAAAACTCTTTTAAAATTGTATTAAGAATATTTAAAAATAAGTATAACTTTCCTAAAAGTTTTTATGCCACCCCTCTACATTCTGCATCTAAAGACTGCTTAAGTCCAAAACCAGGCAGAGGAAAAGAACCTGGCTCTGTCAGACTTGACACTTTGTGCACACAGAAGGTGGCGGAGCCAGTGGACTACAACTTCCAGAGGGCCACGCGGAGCGGAGCTTGGGCTGATTGGCTGCTTGAGCACCGCCCTCCGCTCCTCCCCTCCGAAGTGAC